GTGTGTGTGTGTGTGTGTGTGTGTGTGTGTGTGTGTGTGTGTGTGTGCCGATATTTTCTGTTCACCGCTAAAGTTGACCGCTAAAGCTGATAAAGCCACGCAAAAACCATGTTAAAGATATTTTCCATTTTGCAAGGCCATTCACAATAAGGTAAAAAAAAGTATTTTATACTGGAAGACTAAAAGATAAACACCTTGAAGCAGTAATGGATTAATGTTTCCTCCTTGGACTCACTATGTCAGACAGAGTCCTATGTCCTTTACTCAGTGACTAAACATCACACTACAGCATGAACTGTACGTCACGAAAAATAATGTTGTATCCTTTCTGGGGGAAAAAAACATCTATTCTTCATCTTCCTCGTATTTAGACGTATAACTGAATTTGTAAGTCATCCAAAAAGGTGACAACTCAGGGTTGGTAACTGGGTGCATGTTGAAGTCTAACACATTTGTCTGTAGCTTCCCCCATACTGCTACACTCCAAAAACATATCATGTCTTTGTCTGCTCCCAGACCAACCAATTTAATAATTAAAAATACACATGAGGAGCAAATTAAAAAACCTATGAAAGATAATTAATGTAGCTGAAAAACACCAAAAGATGATTGGATATGGTTTGCTGAATATAAAAATCTTTGTTTTCCAAGTCTTTGTTGGTAAATGGCCTTGTCGGTGATCATCATATTTATGCACTTTGTCTTGCAAAGACCTGGATGCAGCAGGAGGATCGTGTAAGCATCAATTATTTTTATCTCTAACTCTTTACATTTTCACATTTCTGGAGTGTCATACAACTATCGGCAAATCTCTCTTTGATTTCCAAAGTACAGCATTCCATTTTCTTCTGCTTATAATGAGTCGGGTTGTGATGGCAGCAGCCGAAGCAAGGAAGCCTTAGACTTCACTCCACATCAACCTAGTCCGATGGGGTTCCCAAGCCATACCCAGGGCAGCGAATAAGTGTAGTCATTCTATTATGCAATGGTTCTTCCCAGTGGGATGTGTCTGGAACAACTTACTAGGTCTAAGCATCCAGGAGACATCTTGACCTTATGTCCAAGCCACTTCATCTGGCTTCCCTCGATGGAGAGTACCTTTTAAATTTCTTGATATATTTTTTTAAGCTGAGCTTTGTGATCATTTACTCTAATTCCTGCATCTGAATTCAGACAAAACTGAAGCGGTTGTGTTTGACCTGACCATTTTTACAGACCATTGGTGGCAGTGAAGGGATGGACCCACGAGCAGGGCTAGGGAAGAAACATGGGGGAACCAAGATCCTCAAGAGAACAATAGTTTATTTAAACTACAACAAAAAGCACATCTTAGCTGAATGACTAAATTTAAATTTACTTGGAACCAGGGGTACACTAGAAAACCAAAACCAACGTAGGAGAAACATTAGAAACATGACCGGACAGGCCAGTGTAAAGTGCTGAAAACAGATTCTAGTAAAAGTCTTGTCAGTCAATACTTGTCAGTTATGCATGAGATGACTGACTAAAGTATTATAAAAGGGAAGAGATGTGGAAGAAAAGGAGGTGACCCAGCGAACATAGGTGAGTTGATAACCAAGAAAGGAAAGAACTTAGGAAAGTGAATTAGACAGAGAAACACAAAAGGAAGACAGGAAAATGAGAAGATAGCCTAGATGAAACATAGGAAGGTAAGATAAAAACAAGGAAACCAAAGCACAACCTAGAAAACAAACCATAATACAACCATAAGCCCAGGATCCTAACAATGTTTTTTCTTTCCACAGTTACCGTATGCATGCTCAGTATATGGGATTGGCTCAAAGAGGAGACATTTTTTTATTGGTCCTTTTTAAATTCAATATATTTTAAACTTAATGAAGTTTAACTGATTGGGTTTTGATTGTGTTACAATGAAATTGATCTTAATTGGCTTGAATTGGACATAATTTTTTAAGTCCCTGGAGATAACATTTTTTGGTGTTTTGATGCCCAATACATTTAATCCTCTGAATGTGATTTTGGGAGAAAAACTAAATCACATCCAACTTTTTAAACTGTATATGTTCTATGATTCGATTTGTCAAAATGTTGTGCTATTTTTCCTTGATTTTGTGTGGCTGTAATATCTTTGGAAAGGTCATTCATTAATAATTTTATTAGGCTAAAAGTTGAGTTTAAGTGTCCAGTTGTTTGGTGGTTAACATTGTTCACCATAAAACAGTTCCTGGCCTAATG